GTGATCTGATATATCTGTGGCCCCTCTATAAACATGTACATCTGAAGTCTACTCAAACAGTCTTTTATCTACCAATACATAATCCAACAAACTACTGTCATTTCGCCCTACATCATATCGTGTATACTTATTTATCCTCTTTTTCTTAAAATATGTATTACCTATAACTAAACCCCTTTCTATACAAAGTTCAATCAAAGGGCTCCCATTATCATTTACACCTGGCACCCCAAACTTACTACCACACCCTCTCTAAAAGTTTCTCCTACTTTAGCATTCAAGTCCCCTACCACAATTACTCTCTCACTTGGTTCAAAGGCTCCTATACATTCACTTAACATCTCCCAAAATCTCTCTCTCTCCTCTGCATTCCTCTCTTCTCCAGGTGCATACACGCTTATTATGACCCACTTCTCGCATCCAACCTTTACTTTAATCCACATAATTCTTGAATTTACACATTCATATTCTCTTTTCTCCTTCCATAACTGATCATTTAACATTACTGCTACCCCTTCCTTTGCTCTAACTCTCTCAGATACTCCAGATTTAATCCCATTTATTTCCCCCCACTGAAACTCTCCTACCCCCTTCAGCTTTGTTTCGCTTAGGGCCAGGACATCCAACTTCTTTTCATTCATAACATCAGCAATCATCTGTTTCTTGTCATCCGCACTACATCCACGCACATTTAAGCAACCCATTTTTATATATATATATATATATATATATATATATATATATATATATATATATATATATATATATAATATATATATATATATATATATATATATATATATATATATATATATATATATATATATATATATATATATATATATAATATATATATATATATATATATATATATATATATATATATATTATATATCATGCCGAATAGGTAAATTTGGTCCAGTAGGAAGAACTGCAATTAAGTCATTTCTAAAATTATCTCTTATACGTTTAAAGACATATTTTTTTTCATTTATGTTAGTGTAAAAATTAATAATTTTGTGCCAAAAGAACCTTAGAAAATTTACCCACCCTTATTATAACAAGTGTAATTTAATTTTGCCTTATCCAACTAAATATATTTTAGATAAGTTTACAATAATTTAATAATAAACAAACACAATGAAATATATTTTTTTTCGTTAGTTTCAGAATGATTTTATCGAAATTATTGCATACACAAATTTTCCCTTGCCTTATTCGGCAAGAAGAGCGTTGCTATATAAGCCAAAATAGCAAGTTTTACCTATTCAGCACGAGGTATATATATAATTTCAGACAAAACTCACAATATCAGAAATTTATTCACTCAGTATTAACTGTAGGGTTATTGAAGCTAAAACGTTGGGTGATTTCAAATTTAGGTTGGATGGATACATTAGCGAGAGGGGTTGGATTTGATTGAGACTTGCATAATGAGTAAATAGAATCATCAAAACTTATTTCTTGGGGAGCATTGTAAATTGTAAATTGGGTTGGTCAAATATTTTGTTAGTGGGAAGGATTGTTAAGGACCTGCCTAGCATGGGCCAACAGGCCTGCTGCAGTGTTCCTCCTTTGTTATGTTCTTATATTCTTAGTGTAATAGTGGACGGTGTTGCTGTGCTACATGGTTACAGCACTTGCTTGGCAGGCAGGTGGGTGTGGCAAGGTGAGGCTGGCCTCGCGTGGCCCATGAATGTAGATGAACCACCGAGATGGTCAGACCTCAGCTGAGATGATCAGACCTCACCTATGGTACCAGCATGGCGGGGTTAGCCACTTACAGCGGCTCTGCTGTCAAGGTCAAGAACACGGAATATTTTGATGATTAACAACCGTGGTAAGAGTTACTTGTGTGCGCCGATCTGAAGGCCGAGCAAATACTCCTAGCCACCAGACCCGGTGGCCTGGTGGCTAAAACTCCCGCTTCACACACGGAGGGCCCGGGTTCGATTCCCGGCAGGTGGAAATTCCGACACGTTTCCTTACACCTATTGTCCTGTTCACCTAGCAGCAAATAGGTACCTGGGTGTTAGTCGACTGGTGTGGGTCGCATCCTGGGGGACAAGATTAAGGACCCCAATGGAAATAAGTTAGACAGTCCTCGATGACGCACTGACTTTCTTGGGTTATCCTGGGTGGCTAACCCTCCGGGGTTAAAAATCCGAACGAAATCTTATCTTACTTCTGCACTCCAAGACAGATTTTGTGTATCATGGTATAATGTACTCACCTAATTGTGGTTGCAGGGGTCGAGACATACGAGCGTTTAAATATATCTACTCCAGCAGCTGTATGTTAAAACATGCTACAGTAGATATGCTTGTATTTAAGTGTTTTAAGTGTATTTAAGTGTTTTGCACTTGTATTACCTATACGGTATCCAGATAGCATACAGTAAGATCTGATCGCGAGGTCTGCTGGTATTGGGATTACCAACCATAAGCCATCGACAACTATAAATATTCTCGAACATATTTAATGTTAAGGCTTGTGATGAGCTCTTCAGTTACCTTATTACGAGTCAAGGTGCATCCAGTAACCTGTTCTAGTTGCTGTTCTTTCTAAGCGACGCGTCAGTCTACTGTACCTTCTTCGTCGTCAAGGTAATATTTTCTCTTGAGAACTGATAGATCACAGAAGCCACGAACAGTGAACTAAAATGAATTTAAATTCGATGCATTTCGATTGATGCGCGATCCGATAAACGTATCTATCCCCGTATGATATAACCCTCGGTCCATTGTACCTCAATGGACACGATAGGATTAGGGCAGAGTGCGGCATAAGATTCTAAACTGGATAAATATTAGCATTCATGATTTGATGATAATCAGAGGAGGCATTCGCAAGTTATTACAAGAAAATTAATATCCTAGTTAGGCAAATTAGGACATACATTGCCCAAGATTAATTTCAACAATCTAACAGCTTTGAAGCCAAACTGACTTGTAAGTAAGATATACGACTGTTGAAATTTTGAAGGCGTTCAAAATAGACTCTCTAAAGTTATCACAATAATACCAGTTTCAGGAATGTTCTTTATAACAGAGACAAGAACACCTGCATCTATCGATTGCTCTACGATGCTTCGCAGAATAATAATTCATCAAGTCTGAAAAATTTGAAGCCCATCGGATAAGGCATTCTGTAGTTATAAAGAAAAGACTTGGAGGAAGTTAATGGAAGATAAGAACACTGAAGCTACCGCTGTATCGGCTCTGGTATAACGTCATACAGTATATAAGAGTTCACTAAACTCATAAAAAAAAATAAAAATGCCGTAAAAAACGAGTTTACAGTATTTCTCAGTTTTCTTTTCAAAGTTATATTGTATTTAAAATTCTCTACCATCCAGTAAGGAAAAAAAACAATTTTTTTTAAGAGAGTTTAAAATGATGTATTTTTCTCCATTAATTTCGTAAATTGACGCCAATTCATTTTATTTTTCAACACTGCCTATTTAAAATTTGCCTAGCTCAATAAGAAAGCTGAGTTTTCGTTTAATAAATCCCATCTAAAAATAAATAGTTTTAAATATTTTCATTAAAATTTTACATTGTTCAGGGGCTCTGGTGGCTAGGTGGTTAACGCTCTCGCTTCACACGGCGAGGGCGTGGGTTCGATTCCCAGCCAGAGTAGAAACATTGGATGTGTTTCTTTCCACCTGTTGTCTATGTTCCCCATCAGTAAAATGGGTATCTGGGTGTTAGTCGACTGGTGTGGGTCGCATCCTGGGGCTCTGACCTAATTTGCCCGAAATGCGGGGCATAACAAGGGACTTTCTATATAGTAGTATGTCATTGTTATCAGCTAGGACTGTATACCCTGTACATGTCCTTGTATTAAAATAAAGATATTTGTTTAATGTAAACTTACAGTGTGTCACCCTTCTTGTGGAGTTTAGCAACTTTAGTATATTGAAGACGAAAATGAGAAGCCATCCTCTATTTCTTGAAGGAAAATCAGCATCACTATTTATTGAAAGATATTGGTAAAATGGAAACACGCAGCCAGAGTAACAAGGTGAGTCTTGCTCTCTGGAAACATGCAGCCAGAGTAACAAGGTGAGTCTTGCTCTCTGGAAACATGCAGCCAGAGTAACAAGGTGAGTCTTGCTCTCTGGAAACATGCAGCCAGAGTAACAAGGTGAGTCTTGCTCTCTGGAAACATGCAGCCAGAGTAACAAGGTGAGTCTTGCTCTCTGGAAACACGCAGCCAGAGTAACAAGGTGAGTCTTGCTCTCTGGAAACACGCAGCCAGAGTAACAAGGTGAGTCTTGCTCTCTGGAAACATGCAGCCAGAGTAACAAGGTGAGTCTTGGTCTCTGGAAACATTCAGCCAGAATAAGAAGGTGAGTCTTGCTCTCTGGAAACATTCAGCCAGAGTAACAAGGTGGCCCGGTGGCCTGGTGGCTAAAGCTCCCGCTTCACACACGGAGGGCCCGGGTTCGATTCCCGGCGGGTGGAAACATTTCGACACGTTTCCTTACACCTGTTGTCCTGTTCACCTAGCAGCAAATAGGTACCTGGGTGTTAGTCGACTGGTGTGGGTCGCATCCTGGGGGACAAGATTAAGGACCCCAATGGAAATAAGTTAGACAGTCCTCGATGACGCACTGACTTTCTTGGGTTATCCTGGGTGGCTAACCCTCCGGGGTTAAAAATCCGAACGAAATCTTATCTTATCTTATCTTAATCTCGCTCTCTGGAAACGCAGCCAGAGTAACAAGGTGAATCTAGCTCTCTGGAAACATTCTGCTAGAGTAACAAGGTGAGTCTTGCTCTCAGGAAACATTCAGCCAGAGTAACAAGGTGAGTCTTGCTCTCTGGAAACATTCAGCCAGAGTAACAAGGTGAATCTTGCTCTCTGGAAACATTCAGCCAGAGTAACAAGGTGAATCTTGCTCTCAGGAAACATTCAGCCAGAGTAACAAGGTGAGTCTTGCTCACTGGAAACATGCAGCCAGAGTAACAAGGTGAGTCTTGCTCTCTGGAAACATGCAGCCAAAGCAACAAGGTGAACCTTGCTCTGTGGAAGCTGCACCAGGTAAAAAGGTGAGTCTTGCTCTCTGGAAACATGCAGCCAAAGCAACAAGGTGAACCTTGCTCTGTGGAAGCTGCAACATGGCTCAAAATGTGAAGCCTAATGAGAGTCATTCTCCAGTTATCTCATGGACCCAAATAATTCCAAGTTTTATAAACTCATTTAGAATATATACAGATATGCCCACGCACAATCTAAACTTAATGAATTGTATCCTGTCTGTTAGATACTTCAATATTTAAATACTGAAGCATTCAGAATAGATAGAATCTAAATATATTTAACGGGAATAAATATTTCACTGTTTTAGAAATAAAATTGGTTGATGTGAATCAGCATGCTTAAATTTCACTCTCCGCCATCGCTGAATTAGGAAGCACCTTTATTTGAATGAAGATAATCAGCAGCATAGGCTTTTGGAAGTTATTCGTCATTAAAGGATGCTGGGAGTAAGCGAAATAACTTTGGTCATGAGACACTTGCACATGCTCATTTTTCTGGTTGTATGTGCTACATAAAAACGAAAAGTTGGAGGAAGAAAATTTAGAAAAAATTCAGGTATCATTTAAATGACTCCCTTTGGAAATAAAAAGTAAAAGTCACAAACATTGAAATGTTTATATTACGTCACCATACACAACTAGGGTTCAAAAACATCAATTTTGCAGTCCTTATTCTCTATGTACTGCTAAATTAGGTTCTTTCAAAAGCATGCACAATCTGGAACTTTAAAGTAGCAATACACATACCATATACACTGATGGCTCTAGCTCTGGCACCAGGAGAAAGCGATGTTGCAGTAAGCAGGGGTGCCACTAGCACGTTGAGAGACCATACAATAAGTGTCAGGGGCCCGAGACTGTTCAACTGCCTCCCAGCATACATAAGGGGGATTACCAACAGACCCCTGGCAGTCTTCAAGCTGGCACTGGACAAGCACCTAAAGTCGGTTCCTGACCAGCCGGGCTGTGGCTCGTACGTTGGTTTGTGTGCAGCCAGCAGTAACAGCCTGGTTGATCAGGCTCTGATCCACCAGGAGGCCTGGTCACAGACCGGGCCGCGGGGGCGTTGACCCCTGGAACTCTCTCCAGGTAAACTCCAGGTAAGACTGACGGTAATACTGAACAAACTGAACTCTTATCAGATGTCTTCCTCTCAGAAGCTACAGATAAGATAGTTTTCTTGTCTCTGACTCCCTTTCTACACTACATGATCCTAATGGCCTTAACTCTCAATATGACCTGCTTGTTTTTTGAAGTTAGAAACAGATATACATGACTTATTGATAAAAGTATTCAAATCAAAATCTTGGAGATTCACTCTCACATAAGAATCCGATGACTGTACACTGCTGACAAGTTTCTCTTCTGAAAAACAAACTAAATTTCTAACAAACAGTACACTTCTGACAAACACAGTACTCTTCTAACAAACACAGTACACTACTGATAAAAACAGTACACTTCTGACAAATACAGTACTCTTCTAACAAACACAGTACACTACTGATAAAAACAGTACACTTCTGGCAAACACAGTACTCTTCTAACAAACACAGTACACTACTGATAAAAACAGTACACTTCTGACAAACACAGTACTCTTCTAACAAACACAGTACACTACTGATAAAAACAGTACACTTCTGACAAACACAGTACTCTTCTAACAAACACAGTACACTACTGATAAAAACAGTACACTTCTGGCAAACACAGTACTCTTCTAACAAACACAGTACACTACTGATAAAAACAGTACCCTTCTGACAAATACAGTACTCTTCTAACAAACACAGTACACTACTGATAAACACAGTACTCTTCTGACAAATTCAGTACTCTTCTAACAAACACAGTACACTATTGATAAACACAGGACTCTTCTGACAAACACAGTACCATTCTGACAAACAGTACTTTTCTGACAAACACAGTACTCCTCTGACAAACAGTACACGTCTAACAAATACAGTACTCTTCTGACAAACACAGTACTCTTCTGACAAACACAGTACTCTTCTGACAAACACAGTACTCTTCTGACAAACACAGTACTTTTCTGACAAACACAGTACTCCTCTGACAAACAGTACACGTCTAACAAATACAGTACTCTTCTGACAAACACAGTACTCTTCTGACAAACACAGTACTCTTCTGACAAACACAGTACGCTTCTAACAAACACAGTACACTACTGATAAACACAGTACTCTTCTGACAAATACAGTACTCTTCTAACAAACACAGTACACTACTGATAAACACAGACAAACGCAGTACTCTTCTGACAAACACAATACACTACTGATAAACACAGACAAACACAGTACTCTTCTAACAAACACAGTACACTGCTGATAAACACAGTACTCTTCTGACAAACACAGTACTCTTCTAACAAACACAGTACACTTCCGATAAACATAGACAAACACAGTACACTTCCGATAAACATAGACAAACACAGTACTCTTCTAACAAACACAGTACACTACTGATAAACACAGACAAACACAGTACTCTTCTAACAAACACAGTACACTACTGATAAACACAGGACTCTTCTGACAATCACAGTACCATACTGAGAAACACAGTACTCCTCTGACAAACAGTGCACTTCTAACAAACACAGTACTCTTCTGACAAACACAGTACTCTTCTGACAAACACAGTACTCGTCTGGCAAACACAGTACTCTTCTGACAAACCCAGGAACCTTCTGACAAACACAGTACTCTTCTGACAAACACATTACTCTTCTGACAAACACAGTACTCTTCTGATAAACACACAAACACAGTACACTTCTGAAAAACACAGTACTCTTCTGACAGACACAGTACATTTCTGACAAACACAGTACACTTCTGACAAACACAGTACACTTCTGACAAACACAGTACACTTCTGACAAACACAATACAGTAACCACCAGGATATAATGACATCCAAGAAAAAGCAACCTCCAGGATATGGTGACCACCAGTGCATGGTGACATCCAAGACAGTGACCACTAAGATATAGTGACTTCCAGGATATTGTGATCACCAGGATATAGTGACCACTAGAATTGTTACCACCAGGATATAGTGAGCTGTAGGATATAGTAACCACCATGAAATAGTGACCACCAGAATATATTAACCATGATCTATTGACCTCCAGAATATAGTAACCAGAATAAAGTGACAACCAGGTCACTATATTGTTACCAAAAGAAGGTTATAGTGACCAGCAGAATATAGCAATCAGGAAGATATAGTGACCAGCAGGAAATAGTGACCAGCAGGTTATAGTGACCAGCAGAATATAGTGACCCGCAGAATATAGTGACCTGAAGAATATTGTGACCAATGGTTGTAGTGACAAGAAGAATATAGTGACCAGGAGGATATAGTGACCAGCCGGTTATGGTGACCAGCAGAATACAGTGACCAACAGGATACAGTGACCAGCAGAATATATTGACCAGCAGGATATAGTGACCAGCAAGTTATAATAACCAGCAGGATAGTGTGACCAGCGAGTTATAGTGACCAGCAGAATATAGAAACCAGCAGGATATAGTGACCAGCAGAATATAGAAACGAGCAGGATATAGTGGCCATCAGAATATAGATACCAGCAGGATATAGTGACCAGCAGAATATAGAAACCAGCAGGATATAGTGACCAGCAGAATAAAGAAACCAGCAATATATAGTGACCAGCAGACTATAGTGACCAGAAAAATATAGTGACCAGCAGGATATAGTGACCAGCAGGTTACAGTAACCAGCAGGATAGTGTGACCAGCAGGTTATAGTGACCAGCAGAATATAGTGCCCAGCAGAATATAGAGACCAGCAGGATATAGTGACCAGCAGAATATAGAAACCAACAGGATACAGTGACCAGCAGAATATAGTGACCCGCAGAATATAGTGACCTGAAGAATATTGTGACCAATGGTTGTAGTGACAAGAAGAATATAGTGACCAGGAGGATATAGTGACCAGCCGGTTATGGTGACCAGCAGAATACAGTGACCAACAGGATACAGTGACCAGCAGAATATATTGACCAGCAGGATATAGTGACCAGCAAGTTATAATAACCAGCAGGATAGTGTGACCAGCGAGTTATAGTGACCAGCAGAATATAGAAACCAGCAGGATATAGTGACCAGCAGAATATAGAAACGATCAGGATATAGTGACCAGCAGAATATAGAGACCAGCAGAATATAGTGATCAGCAGAATATAGTGACCAGTAGAATATAGTTACCAACAGAATATAGTGACCAGCATGATATAGTGACCAGCAGGATATAGTGACCAGCAGCATATAGTGACCAGCAGGATGTAGTGACCAGCAGGTTACAGTAACCAGCAGGATAGTGTGACCAGCAGGTTATAGTGACCAGCAGAATATAGTGACCAGCAGAATATAGAGACCAGCAGAATATAGTGATCAGCAGAATATAGTGACCAGTAGAATATAGTTACCAACAGAATATAGTGACCAGCAGGATATAGTGACCAGCAGGTTACAGTGACCAGCAGAATATAGTGACCAGCAGGATGTAGTGACCAGCAAGATAGTGTGACCAGGAAGATAGTGTGACCAGCAGGTTGCAGTGACCAGAAGAATATAGAAACCAGCAGGATATAGTCACCAGCAGAATATAGAAACCAGCAGGATATAGTGACCAGCAGATTTCAGTGACCAGCAGAATATAGTGACCAGCAATATATAGTGACCAGCAGGTTATAGTAACCAGCAGGATAGTGTGACCAGCAGGTTACAGTGACCAGCAGAATATAGTGACCAGCAGAATATAGTGACCAGCAGAATATAGTGACCAGCAGAATATAGTGACCAGCAGAATATAGTGACCAGCAGAATATAGTGACCAGCAGAATATAGTGACCAGCAGGAAACAGTTACCAGCAGGATACAGTGACCAGCAGGATATAGTAACCAGCAGGATATAGTGACCAGCAAGTTATAGTAACCAGCAGAATATAGTGACCAGCAGGACATAGTGACCAGCAGGATAGAGCAACTAGCAGAATATAGTGACCAGCAGACTATAGTGACCAGGAAGATATACTAACCTACTAACCAGCAGAACATAATGACCAGCATTATATAGTGACCAGCAGGATATAGTGACCAGCAAGTTATAGTAAACCGCAGAATATAGTGACCAGCAGGGTATAGTGACCAGCAGGATATAGTGACCAGCAGGATATAAAAATGACTAGCAGAATATAGCGACCAGCAGGATATAATGACCAGCAGGATATAGTGACCAGCAGGATATAGTGACCAGCAGGATATAGTGACCAACAGGATATAGTGACCAGCAGGATATGGTGACCAGCAGGATATAGCGACCAGCAGGATATAGTGACCAGCAGGATATAGTGACCAACAGGATATACTGACCAGCAGGATATAGTGACTAGCAGAATATAGTGACCAGCAGGATATAGTGACCAGCAGGATATAGTGACCAGTAGGATATAGTGACTAGCAGAATATAGTGACCAGCAGGATATAGTGACCAGCTGGATATAGTGACCAGCAGGATATAGCGACTAGCAGAATATAGTGACCAGCAGGATGTAGTGTCCAGCAGAATATAGTGACCAGCAGAACATAGTGACCAGCAGGATATAGTGGCCAGCAGGATATAGTGACCAGCAGGATATAGCGACTAGCAGAATATAGTGACCAGCAGGATATAGCGACTAGCAGAATATAGTGACCAGCAGAATATAGTGACCAGCAGAATATAGTGACCAGCAGGATATAGTGACCAGCAGGATATAGTGACCAGCAGGATATAGTGACCAGCAGTATATAGTGACCAGCAGATCTTGGTCAAGGAGAAGCATCGGAAGTGTGGCTGCAACTTGATCCAAATATCACTTGTGGTACAGAAATTATTTTCTGCTTTATTAATGTTTCAATTTATTGATTTTGTATTAAGAGTAAACATATTTCGTCAGTTAACTACAGTGTATGTAAATAATGGAAAAAGTTTTCATTTCTTTCACATCGCTATAAGTCTCCTTCGAGAATGATGAGGTGTACCACGATTTCTTGTGTTTTTTGCTGAGCAGGAGGGAGGCAGGAGTCCCAAGGCGACCTTGACCTAATGGAGAAGTTATCTGGTGTATATAAGTGGTCCGTCGCCTCCCTCAACACTCATCCACTGCTGCTAAGGTAAGCTGGATCATCCTGTCTCTAGATCCGTCTCCTTGTCTGATGTTTCTAGTGTTTTATCCCTCAGTGTACTTTTGTGAATTCACTGGGGGTCCTAGTGTTACTGATACGAATATTGAGATTAACTCTGTACTTGGTATTAGAATGTTATGAAATGAACCAGACACTACATAGATCTAAATGGGTTGTGAAAGCATGCAGTTATATTTTTGCAACTTGCACAAGCTTTACCACTGTAGACAACAAGAACATTTCACCCTCCTATGGAAGATGTGTTCATTTAACATCATTAAATCTCTCGCAAAGGCAACTGCTCAAGAAGATATTTCTTGCTTAGTTATCAGTTAATGTACACTGTACACTAATGGATCTAAGCAGGAGACTACTGGTAGGGCTTCATCTGCCAGGAGTCTCCTGCAAGATCCAGCATCAGCGAGGTCAAAAGCTCAGTGCCCCAAGGCACTGTCCTGGCACCTCTGCTGTTCCTCATTCTCTTCAGCTGCTGAGTTAGGCATAAATATTAACAACTGTGTGTCTACACTGCAAACTGAATTGTTTGTCATTTTTAGGGCGCTAATGCTAACTTATGATACTGAGCCTGACTCTATGATTATTACTGATTCTAAGTCATCACTGAAAGCTCTTGAATCAAATAACGACTCTTAACAACATGCTCATTGGAGCAACCAGATATAGATACTAAAAAATCCGGGAAAAAGATATTAACCCATTATCATAAGATGAACATAAATAAGTACGTTTATGGAGCAACTTGCAATGTGAAAACTGACTTATGTTGTAGTGGTCAGGTTTAGGCTTCGTTACGAGTACTTGTGCCAGTTTGACAGACCCACAGATGACTACGTATGCGTCTGCCAAACTAATTTCTTAAACTGAACAAATAATCAGAATTCAGTACAATCAAAGCCATTGAGTCCATCACTCGCAGCTCAAACTTTATCCATTATTCATTCCATGGAATAGGTTATAAGACTCCAGAGTGGGAAATCTTTCTGCTATTTACACCGAGAGGTTAATAGCTGGGTTTTTAGGCACTCTGGTCACTTAATTGATAGAAAAAGAACCTGGCGTGTAGGGAGAGGAGGAGGTGACGCTCCAGAAATTGTATAAAAAAGAAACTTATTGGTGACAGTCTGGCTGGAAGAGGTGCCCAGGGACTTGTCTTTAAAGTACTATGATTATAATTGTCATTACTATTATTTCAGGTGTACAGGTATTATCGTGATCAATTAAAACAATAACTTAGGCAACGTTTTAGCCCATTGTTATGTCAAAAGAAAGCCGATAAGAAAGCAAAATACAGAAAACAAGTCAGAAAATGAGGAAAGGAGCGCAGGTCAAAGGTAGTAGTAGTAATAATAGTAGATGTAGTAAAATTATTAGTGGTGGTAATAGTAGGACAAGTAGCAATAGCACAAGCAGTAGTAATAGTAGAACTAGTATTGAAGTAGTAGTTGTAGTAGTACTAGTAACAGTACTATTAGTAGTAGTAATAGTACTAGTAGAAATAATAACAATAATGTTAGGAAAATCGATCATAGTATAAAGGAAGGAATCATATCAGAGTACAAGACACACAATGGAAGATAATAAAAGAGAACTAGAATTTACATGGGTGAGTAAGTAAGCTTCTTCAGTCGAGGGCAAAGGAGGCACCAGAAACAGTACAGATATAAAGACGATGGAATCAGTCCATCACATAGGTGAGGAGGTCTATGGCAGTGTTCTTCTGTATTTTACTACGATTACTACAACAACAGCAACAATAATCACTAGTTCTACTACTACTACTTCTACTACTACTACTACTACTTCTACTACTGTTGTTGGTGTCGTTTTCTTCGTCCAGGACGAGTCGTAACATCTTGGGTTATTTTTAAATGGTTCCAGCCAGCCAGGGTATTGTGATTTCCATTTTTTTTTTTCCAGATGAAGGCGATTGTTGTGTTGTTGAGTGTGGCTGGACTGGCGTCATGTCAGTTCTTCCCACCGAGGCAGAGCTCCAATAGCTTCCAAGGTTCTTCCGGCAGGTTCCCGTCTCAAGGTTCTAATGGCAGGTTCCAGTCGCAAGGTTCTTCTGGCGTTCAGGTAAGCCTTCTACCATTCATTTGAGTAGCACTTGTAAAAGTTGCCTAATAATAATATTTAAACATCAAATATGACGGGTAGTTTCTCTCTTTTATGCATGCAGAATCAGACACATGTGCAACATCTGAGTATCTTTGTGGGGCTGAAGTAGTTTTGTTGTCCGGTATTAACTCTGTCCAAAAGCAACTGAAAGTTCTATTCTTACTTACAGTTATTCTATGTAGCAAAAGTTTGAAGATGACGATAACAATAATGTGACTAACGCGACGGTCTGGAGTTTTGAGACTTTCTGACCGCTGGTTCAAACCCCACCCGTGATATGGTTTATTTGCAATCGTGTCATTACGATTTCGTGAGTCAGTTAATTATGTTTGTGTTATAGGCTGACGACACCTTCGGTGGAAGTGAATACTACTTCTCCTGGAAGCACGATGGTGGTAAGGAGTACACTGGTAGTGCTGCTGCCAGCTTGTGTTCCAGTCTGGGTGGCGGGTGGCAGGCTGTGGGTATCAGCTCCCAGGAAGAGCTCAATTACATCCATGGCATTATTGCCAGAGGTTAGTTTCTGTTGTACTTGTTTTATTTGCATATTGTTTGAAACTCAATATTTTTATTTTATTGCAAGAGCTGGCTTTTGCAAATAATGCTACTTTTATTTTGTGTTAACAGAGGGTCTGGACTACATCTGGACTGGCGGTAACAAGTCTGGGAACGGCTTCAAGTGGCGGAATGGCGAACCATTCAGCGTTACTGGCTGGTCACACACTGGATTGTAAGTTTACACACATACACACACATCGACATGTGCCTAGGACAAAATGGTAACTAACATTGGATATTTGAGTATGCAGCATCAGTTTGGAACCCACACCTAGGCGAGCATGTAAGGAAGCTAGAGAAAGTGCAACGATTTGCAACAAGACTAGTCCCGGAGACAAGTGGTATGTCGTACGAGGAAAGATTAAGGGACAATGGAGGACAGAAGAGATAGGGGGAATATGATAACGACTTATAAATACTGAGAGGAATCGACAAGGTGGACAGAGACAGGATGTTCCAGAGATGAGACACAGCAACAAGGGGCTACAGTTGGAAACTGAAGACTCAGATGAATCACAGGGATGTTAGGAAGTATTTCTTCAGTCACAGAGTTGTCAGGAAGTGGAATAGTGTGGGAAGTGATGCAGTGGAGGCAGAATCCTTACATAGCTTTAAGAAGAGGTATGATAAAGCTCCTGGAGCAGGAAGAGTGAACCAGTAGCGATCAGTGAAGAGGCGGGGCCAGGAGCTCGGCCTCGACCCCTGCAACCTCAACTAGGTGAGTACAACTAGGTGAGTACACACACACAGTCCCGTGGCTCGGATGGTAGCGCGCTCACACATGGCATCCAAGGGAGTGGTAGAATACCACAAGTAGTGTTGGGCTTTAAAATGACCTGAGGCAGCATAACAGCTCTTGGTCTGTAAAACTGATGTATAGAAAAGGAACACATACACATTCAAACACTTATTCTACTCTGGGAATGGTCACTGGGAGACTTGACGAAAACATATACGATTCTTCAGCCAATTAATAAAGTAGGAAAAACTATTTAAGCGGCGGAAACTGTGCACAGGCGGTGCTCAGCTGGAATGAAAAAACACAAATATGCCCAGGGATTTTAGGAAAAAAATCAGTCTCAGGGAAGTAAGAAAGTGAAATTAACAAAATTAACCATCCGTTCTCATTTTCTGTTCTCATTTTCAAATTATTAACATAAACTAAAAACATCGGGTACAACATAGACTGTCAGTACTTACGCTTTCCAGTACTGAGACTTCACGACTTACTGTAAGTCTTTCCTTTTTAATGAACAGGAATTTTCACTTACCATGCCTTTTGAGTCCAATTTTATATCCTCTATGTGGCACAATATCAAAATCCTCTTCACACTCTTTGAATGTAAGAGGCTGGAGAGGCTGTACATTTCGAAAAAGTCAATAAATTCTTTGATACTGTGCAACAGAGATTACTAGGCACACTTAAAATTTTGAAAACCTTACAAATATTTATGTTAAACTAAGTATGTGGAAACAAGAAACCACAAGCATGGAGCAGCTCCAGTATTAAAAAAAAATCAATAAAACTTTGGGAATCTCGGGTATACATAGCCGAAATAAAGTTAACTTTGTTTCCTGTATATTATTTCGAAACAAGGTAAACTTAGGTAATCACACGTGAATATACCTTTTGCAACATTTAAAAATTAATTCTATAACATCCATATTTTCCTTCGTTGAATATATTACATTATTTACGAGGCGGTAGTCAATTGCTGTCAGGAAGGAAAAATAAGTCATGAGTGTTGGTGTGTTTGTTGCAGGAACCGCAAACCTCAGCCAGACAACCGTGAAGGTGGCAAGGAGAACTGCCTGGCCATCCTTAACAACTTCTACAAGGATGGCATCAAGTGGCACGACGTAGCCTGCCACCACCTGAAGCCCGTCATCTGTGAACGTCGAGCTTAATGCCACCTGTGTCACATTCTCTCACCAGTCTCCTCATTTTCACACTTTTTCCCTCCACAATTCCTCAATCATTCTTGATACAGATAACACATCATCCGTAAACATGAAGAAAACTTTTAAATTTAGACCATCCACCCTCCTCGCGGTCTCTCCCTCCTCTGTGCCTCTATCTGTCTCGTCTGTCTGTCGTCTGCTCTGCGTCTCTCTGTCTGTCTCTCTCTGTGTCTGTCTCGCCCTCTGTCCTGTCTCTCTCTCTTCTTTCTGTCTGTCGTCTGTCGTCGTCTGCTGTCTGTCTCCTCTCTCTCTCTCTCTCTCACTCTCCTCCTCCTTCTCTCTTCTCTCCCCTCTAAAATCTCTCTCTCTCTACTCTCTCTCTCTCACTTCTTCTCTCTCCTCTCCTCTCTCTCCTCTCTCCTCTCTCTCCTCTCTCCTCTCCTTTTCGTCTCTCTCTCTTCTCTCTCTCCTTCTCTCTCTCTCCCCTCTGTCTCCCTCTCCCCTCCTACTCTCCTCCTACTTCTCCTCTCCCCTCTCTCTACCTCCTCTCTCCTCACTCTTTCTCTCTCTCTCTCCTCTTCTCTCTCTCTCTCCTCCCTCTCTCTCTCCTTTCCTCTCCTTCTCTCCTCTCTCTAAATCTCCTCTCTCCCAAACTTCCCCTCTCTCCTCCACTCCTCTCTACACTCCCTCTCCAAATCTTCTAATATATATAATAATATTTTAAAATAAATAATAATATAAAAATAAAATATAATATTAATAATAAAATATAAAATATATATAAATATAATATATATAATTTGTAATTTATACATGAAATGTATTTATTTTAAACAGTATTCTAATGTAATGTAACTTCTTAGAATGGCAAAAAAATAAGCAAAATTTTATAAAAACACTTAGTTATCAACGTTCCTCTCAGTGGTATCTTTATGAGAGAGTATAGTGAATTTGTTGTTGTTCTGATGTAGTGAACTGTGGTTGTTGTGTGTGAGTACTGTGTTTTGTTCTGTGTGATGACTTGCGTTGTTGTTGTGTAGTGACTGTGTTGTTGTTGTGTGGAGGACTGTGTTGTTGTTCTGTGTGTAGTGACTGGCTGTTGTTGTGGGTAGTGATTGTGTTGTTGTGTGTGTAGGTGACTGTGTTAGTGTGGTGAGTGAACGTGTTGTTGTTGTGTGTGTAGTGACGGTTGTTGTTGGTGTGTATGACTGTACTGTTGTTGATGGTAAGGACTGTGTTGTTGTTGTGTTGTAGTGACTGACTGTTGTTGTGGGGTGTAATGACTGTACTGTTGTTTGTGTGTAGTACTGTTGTTGTTGTGTGTGTATGACTGGCTGTTGTTGAGTGGTATGACTGTGTGTTGTGTGTGGTAGTGACGTAACTGTTTTGTGTGTGAGTGACTTACGTTGTTGTGTTGTAGTGACTGTGTTGTTGTTGTGTTGTATGACGTAACGTGTTGATTGTAGTGACGTGTTGTTGTTGTGTGTGTAGTGACTGTACTGTTGTTGTGTGTGTAATACGTACTGTTTTGTGTGTGTAGTGACTGTGTTGTTGTTGTGTGTGAGGACTGTGCTGTGTGATGGTAGTGACGTGTGGGGTTGTGTGTGTAGTGACTGTACTTTGTTGTGGTGTAGTGACTTACGTTGTTGTGTTGTAGTGACTGTGTGTTGTGTGTGTGTAGTGACTGGGGTTGTTGTGTGTGTGTAGTGACTGGCTGTTGTTGATGTGTAGTGACTGTTTGTTGTTGTGTGTGTAGTACTGTACGTTGTGTGTGTGTAGTGACTGGTTTGGTGTTGTGTGTAGTGATGTTGTTTGTTGGTGTATGACGGTGTTTGTTGTGTGTGTATGACTGTGTTTTTTGGGTGTGTGAGTGACTGTACGTTGTCTGTGTGAAAGTACTTGCGTTGTTCTTGTTAGTGACTGTGCTTTTTTGGGTGTGTAGTGACGTGGCTATGTTCTGTGGAAAGTGACGTGCGCTGTTGTGTTAGTGACTGGCGTTGGTGTGTGTAGTGACTGTGGCTGCTGTTGGTTGTAGTGACTGTGCTGCTGTTGTGTGTGTAGTACGTGCTGTTTTGTGTTGAAGTGACGTGCTGCGTTGTTTGTATGACTGTGCTCTGTTTTGGTGGGTGACTTGCTTTTGGTGTGTTAGACCCCACCTATTGTAAACACCAATTAGTTGCTCGGTCGATCGAGGTCCTGGCCCCGCCTCTTCACGATTGCTACTAGCCCACCCCCTGAGCCGTGAGCTTTATCATACCTCTGCTTAAAAAAATTAGGGATCCTGCCCACTACACGTTCCCAAACAATTCATTTACGACTACTCTGGGGCGAAGAAATATTCTAACATCCCGTGTTTCATCGTGTCTTAGCTTCCAAGGTCCCATGTTACTGTGTCCAATCCTGAACCATCCTGTCTTGTCCACCTGTCAATTCCTCTCAGAAATTTGGTATGTCGTTACATGTCCCCCCATCTCTCCGCCTCCAGGTCGTCGGGTTTGTTTCCCTTAACCCTCCCGTAGGACAACCTCTAGCTCTGGGACAAGTCTTGTTGCAAACCTTGCACTATCTCTAAGTTTCTTCACGTGCTTGGCTAGGTGTGGGTTCCAACGGGTCCCGCATACTCCAATATGGCCAAACGTACACGGTGTACAGCCTGAATGATTCCTTATTAAGATCGGAAAAAGCTGTTCGAGGTTGCTAGGCCCAAATGCGCAATTATTGGTTGATGTGCGCTGGTGTTAACTCACCCCAAGATCTTTCCTGAGGAGGGGGGGGCGCGACCCCCTTGACTGACTCCGTTGGGGCCCCTTCTTGCCCTTCCCCAAAAATCTTCATGACTTTGCACTTGTTGATTGAACTCCGGGAGCCAATTGCGGGACAGGTCTGCAGCCTGTCAAATCCTTGTATTCTGCTGTCTTCGATCGATGAAATCTTCTATCAACTTACGTCATCTGCAAACGGGGCAACCTCAGAGACTATCCTTCCTCATGTCGTCACAAATACCAGAAACGGGCACTGTCCAAAGGACTGACCCCTGCGGACCCCGCTGGTCACAGGTGCCCACTCACACCTCGCCACGTACCAACTCGCTGCTGTCCTTCCTGACAAGTATTCCCTATCCTTTATGCCTTCCCTGTTATCCCGCTTGTCCCCAGTTTTTTGCACCAATCTCTTGTGGAACTGTGTCAACGCCTTCCTTGCATCCAAGAAAATGCAATCCACCCACCCCTCTCTCCTTTCTTACTGCTGTCACCATGTCATAGAACTCCAGTAGTTTTGTGACACAGGATTTCCCGTCCCTAAAACCAGCTGGCTGCTGTTGATAGATCGCCCTTTTCTAGGTTTCCACCACTCTTCTCCTATAACTTCTCCATGATTTTGCATACTATACATTCCAGTGACACTGCTTAGTTAATGCTTCATGTCTGTCTCCTTTTTTAAAGATTGGGACTACATTTGCTGTCTTCCATGCCTCGGGCAATCTCCCTGTTTCGATAGATTATTGAATATGTGTTAGGGGTACACGTAGCGCCTCTGCTCCCTCTCTCAGGACCCATGGGAGATGTTTCTGCCCATTGTTTTTGAGGTACTAGCTCACTCAGAACCTCTTCACTTCTTCCTCGTTTGTGTCACTGTGTCCAGCATTTGGGTGTGTGCCCCACCTCTCCGTCTTTCTGAGTCTCTTCTGTCTTTTTCAGTGACACTTCTTTGAATCTCTGTTGATTCTTCACAACTTACGAAATTTCTTGTTGCCCTCTCCTCTTCCTTCCTTACCTATTACCTGGTCCTTGACTGTTTTTCCCTCCTAATGTGGCTGTACAACATTTCGGGTTCGGGATTTGGCCTTCGCTGCTATGTCATTTTCATATTGTCTTTGGGCCTCCCTTTTTTTCTGTGCATATTCGTTTCTGGCTCTACGACTGTTCTCCTTATTCTCCTGGGTCCTGCCTTCTATATTTCTTCCATTCCCTAGCACACTTGGTTTTTGCCTCCCTGCACCTTTGGGTAAACCATGGGCTCATCCCGGCTTTTTCATTATTCCTGTTACCCTTGGGTAACAAACCTCTCCTCAGCCTCCTTGCATTTTGTTGCCCACATATTTCCCTCATCTCATTAAACTGGCTTCCCTGCCCCGTTTTTCCCGTCCCACTGAAAACCCCCTTTATGTAGTTTCCTCATTCCTGTGGGTAGTCCCCCTTTCTTGTAGTTTGACTTCATTTCGTCCTGGCCTTCCTGCTTCTCCCTCCACTTGTGCTCTACTGTGTAATTCGAAGCTTAAAACCACATGGTCACTGGCCCCCAAGGGGGGGTTCATATGTGATGTCCTCGATATCTGCACTACTCAAGGTGAACACTAAGTCCAACTTTCTGTTCATCCTCTCCTCTCTCTCTTGTAGTGTCCCTTACGTGTTGGCACATGAATTTTCCCTACCAAACCCCCATCATCTTAGCCCTCCATGTATCTTGGCCCCCATGTGGGTCCAAGTTCTCCCAATCGATCTCCCTTGTGGTTTTAAATCACCCATGATCAGGAGCTTTGCCCTGCATGCATGAGCTCTTCTGGCTACCTAGCCATGTGTCAACCATCGCCTATTGCTCTCGTCGTACTCTTGCCTTGGCCTCCTGCTGTTCTGTGGTGGGTTTTTACATCACTGCTATTACCAAACCCTTGGGGCCTCCGAGTGAAGTGTTCCCGCTATGTAATCACTTTCTTCTCCCTGTCTCCTCTCTCCAGCTCATCAAAATTCCAGCGTTTTTGATCAGCAACGCCACTCCCCCACCCCCCCTGTTCCCTCGTCTTTCCCCCAGGATTTGGTATCCCGTTGGAAAGATGGCATCTGTTATCATACCTGTAAGCTTGGTTTCTGTGGAGCTATGATGTCCGGTGATGCTTCTTTGACTCTTTCATGCCACTCCTCCCACTTTTTTGTTATTCCATCAGCATTTGTGTACCATACCTTCAGTTTCCTTTCCAACACTGTGGTTAGGGGGGCCTGTGAGGGTGGGAGACCTGGTGGCATACTGTGGATTCTATAGCTCGGTGTTTGGGGGGAGGCTGTGGGTATGAATTGGGAGTGTGTGTTGGGTTGGTGTGATAGGTTGAATGGTTCGAGAATAGTTGTGTGTGTGCTTGCCCTTGCTGTTTCTGTTCTGCTCTGACTGACCTCTGCTGGTTCCATCCTTGTCTCTTTTCCTACTCCTTTCGCTTTTTTGTCCTCTCCCTCAGCTGCTGTCGTTCTGATTTTGTTCTGTTCTCTGTCTAGGAACACCCTCTTGTACTCTTCCGAGTATTTCAATCGTGGTTTCTCTTGGAGGATCCTGTTCCCCACTGTTTCCGTCCTGAGAATCAGCTTGATTGGTCGGTTTCCCCTTCGAGGGACCCCCCTATTCTCTGAAAATTTACAATCTCGTCCATCTCTTCACCTATTTCCGTGATGATTTTCTCAATCTCCTTTCTTTCCTTTCCTGCTGCTTTCAGTGTGTGACTTTCCTCTCTCTCCCCGAAGCCCCTGGATAAACACTGATTTTTGCCCTTTCTTCCTCCCATTGCCTCACCCCCTGTGACTCTGGATCCTGCCTGTATGTGGTCAGTTTTTCCTTGATTTTCCAGTGGCTCTTGATAGCCTGGTTGTGCCTCAGCATTCGACCTATCACCCCCTCCATCTGCAAACCCGCTGTTCTTCCCTTTCACTCCTTGGTCCTCCTTGGCAGGCTGATATGACCTTAGCATAATTCATAATTCCTTCCTTCCTGTTCGCCTCGCGCTTCATATTTCTGTGTCTTCTCTGGTCACTGCCCCTGTAACTCGCTTCAGCCCAATTATCTCAACTTCTAGGACCCTTATCTTGGCTACTGCAGTTTTTGACTTGTGCCTCCCAATTCTTTGTCCCTTCTCCAACCTTTTTCCAATTTCACAGAGAGCTCTTTCTCATTTTTTCAGAAAGCTCTCCTAAATTTTCTCTCCCACTCTTGTTCCATTCTTTTCCACTGCTCCTCCATCCACTCCCCCCTACCAGAACCATTCTCATCTGATACTTGGTTCCCCGCGAGTCCCCACCCTTTTTTTTTTTTTTTTTTGTGAGAGAAGAAAAAGGGGAAAAGGGAAAGGAGAGAGAGAGGGGAAGAGTGAGAAGGGAAAGGGGGGGAGAGAGTGTGAGAGGGGTAAAAGAGGAAGGGAAGGGAAGGGGACGGGGAGAGTGAGAAGGGAAAAATGGAGAAGAGATGGAGAGAGAGAGAGTGGGAGAGAGGGGAGAGAGAGAGAGAGAGAGAGAGAGAGAGAGAGAGAGAGAGAGAGAAGGGAAGGTAGAGAGAGGGGATAGTGAGAAGGAAAAAGGGGGAAAGTGTAGAGTGAAGAGGAGGGGGGAGAGAGTGAGGGGAAGGGTAGGAGGGGGGGGAGAGTTTAGAAGGAAAATGAGGAAGAGAGAGAGCAAGAGAGAGAGAGAGGGGAGGAGGAGAGAGGGAGAGAGAGGGGAGAGGGAGGGAGAGGAAGAGGAGGGGGAGAGAGTGAAGGGAAAAAGTTTGGAAAAGGGGGGGAGTTAGAAGGAAATGGGGAAGAGAGAGAGCAAAGAGAGAAGAGCAAGAGAGAAGAGAGAGAGAGAGAGAGAGAGAGAGAGAGAGAGAGAGAGAAGAGAGAGAGAGGGGAGAGAGAGAGAGAGAGAGGAGAGAGAGAGAGAGAGAGAGAGAGAGGAGAGAGGGAGAGAGGGGAAGAGAGAGAGAAGAGAAGCAAAGAGGGGGAGAGAGGGGGCAGAGAGGGGAGGAAGAGGGGAGAAGGGGAAAGAGGGGGAGATGAAGAGCGAGAGGGGAGAGAGCTTGGGGAGAGGGGGGGGGAGGGGAAGAATGGGGAAAGGGAGAGGGGGGAGAGATGGGGAAAGGAGAGGGAGAGAGATGGGAAAAGGAGAGGGGAGAGATAATGGGGGGAGGATGTTAAGGGGAGAGATGTTAGAGGGGGGAGGTGTTAGAGGTAAGAGATGTTAGAGGGGAGAGATGGGGAGAGGGAAGAGAGAGGAGATAGGTAAGTGATAGTAAGAGAGATATAGTAAAGGTGAGAAAGGTTTAAAATAGGTCTCTACTTGGGTAGAAAGAGGGGGGGGAGGAGCAAGGTTCAGATGTCAGTTCACAGGACGGGGTGAAATCCTGTGTATGTGTGTGTTTGCGTGTGTACTACAGCTCAAATCTTGTTCCCGTGTGTGTGGGTGTGTGTGGTGGTGTGTGTGGTGTGGGGTTGTGAGTGTGTGTGGGGTGTGTGTGTGTGTGGACTCACCTATTTTGGTTGGGAGGGTCGAGTCCTAGCTCCTGGCCCGCCTCTTCACACCGGTTGCACTAGACCCTCTCTCTCTCCCGCTCCATGACTTTATCAAACCTCGTCTTTAAACTGTGTATGGGTTCCTGCCTCCTCACGTCATTTCTAGGCATTCACTGCCTTACAACTCTATGACTAAGAAATACTTCTACTATCTCGCTGACTCATTTGTGGGCTTCAACTTCCATTGTGGGCCTTGTTTCTGTGTCCCCTCCCTGAACATCCTGACCTTGTCCACCTTGTCTATTCCACGCAGTATTTTAAGTCGTTATCATGTCTTCCCCTTACCCTCCTGTCCTCCATGTCGTCAGGCCGAAATTTCCTTAATCTTTCTTCATAGGACATTTCCCCTTAGCTCTGGAACTAACCTTTTTGTGTGTGTGTGTGTGTGTGTGTTTTTGTGTGTGTGTGTGTGTGTGTGTGTTGTGTGTGTGTGTGTGTGTGTGTGTGTGTTGTGTGGTGTGTGTGTGTTTAGTTGCGTGTGTATGTGTTTGTGTGTGTTTTTGTGTGTGTATTTGTGTGTGGGATGTGTGTGTGTGGGGTGTGTATGTGTGTGGGTGGGGGGGTGTTTTTGTACGTGTTGTGTGTGTGTGTGTGTGTGTGTGTGTTTTGTGTGGGTGTGTGTGTGTATGTTTTGTGGTATGTGTGTATGTGTGTGTGTGTGTATGTGGGGTGTGTGTGTATGTGTGTATGTGTGTGTGTGGTGTGTGTGTGTGTGTATGTGTATGTGTGTGTGTGTGTGTGTGTGTGTGTGTATGTGACTAGTGACTGTGTTCTTGTGTGTGTGTAGTGAATGTGTTTTGTTGTGTGTGTAGTGACTGACTGTTGTTCTGTGTGTAGTGACTGTGCTTTTTGTTTTTGTAGTGTCTGTGCTGTTGTTCTGTGTGTAGTGACTGTGCTGTTGTTCTGTGTGTAGTGACTGTGCTGTTGTTCTGTGTGTAGTGACTGTGCTATTGTTCTGTGTGTAGGACTGTGCTGCTGTTTTGTGGTAGTGACTGTGCTGTTGCTGTGTGGTAGGCAGTGCTGTGTTGTGTGTGTAGTGACTGTACTGTTGTTGTGTGTGTAGTGACAGTGCTGTTGTTGTGTGTGTAGTGACTGTACTGTTGTTGTGTGTGTAGTGACTGTGCTGTTGCTGTGTGTGTAGTGACTGTACTGTTGTTGTGTGTGTAGTGACTGTACGGGTTGTTGTGTGTGTAGTGACTGTACTGTTGCTGTGTGTGTAGTGACAGTGCTGTTGTTGTGTGTGTAGTGACTGTACTGTTGTTGTGTGTGTAGTGACTGTGCTGTTGCTCTGTGAATAGTGACTGTGCTGTTGTTGTGTGTGTAGTGACTATGCTATTGTTCTGTGTGTAGTGACTGTGCTGCTGTTGTGTGTGTAGTGACTGTGCTGTTGCTGTGTGTGTAGTGACTGTGCTGTTGTTGTGTGTGTAGTGACTGTGCTGTTGTTGTGTGTGTAGTGACTGTGCTGTTGCTGTGTGTGTAGTGACTGTGCTGTTGTTGTGTGTGTAGTGACTGTCTGTTGCTGTGTGTATAGTGACTGTGCTGTTGTTGTGTGTGTAGTGATTGTGCTGTTATTGAGTGTGTATGACTGTGCTATTGTTCTGTGTGTAGTGACTGTGCTGCTGTTGTGTGTTTAGTGACTGTGCAGTTGCTGAGCGTGTAGTGACTGGTGCTGTTGTTGTGTGTAGTGACTGGTGCTGCTGTTGTGTTTTTAGTGACTGTGCTGTTGCTGGGGTGTGTAGTGACTGTGCTGTTGTTGTGTGTGTAGTGACTGTGCTTTTGTTCTTCTGTTGTAGTGACTGTGCTATTGTTCGTGTGTAGTGACTGTCTGCTGTTGTGTGTGTAGTGACTGTGCTGTTGTTGTGTGTGTAGTGACTGTGCTTTTGTTCTTCTGTGTAGTGACTGTGCTATTGTTCTGTGTGTAGTGACTGTGCTGCTGTTTGTGTGTGTAGTGACTGTGCTTTGCTGTGTGTGTAGTGACTGTACTGTTGTTGTGTGTGTAGTGACTGTG